TCACTCCTTCCTGTGATTTTTTGTTTATATCACTCCTACACTGTGCTCATCTATTGCAACACAGAAAAGGACAAACCTGTAACAGCCGGCCTGAGACTCACTGCAAGTGCTTGGCATTTTATAATGGTTCCAACACTCTGAATGCACATTTGCCCTTAAATCTGGTGCCCCATCTCTTCCAGAAATTAATTAGGGTACACATGCATAATTTTGTGACATTACTTTCCTCATGGTATGACACTGTAAATCTGTCTTTGACAGAATTCCCATACTGACACAATACAAGGAAATTGAAAAGACAGAGGATCAGTAAATTATGGAAGAACTGATTTGTGGATATCAAAGTGAAATATTAGCAATGTTGAATCAAGCAGAATACTTTACTCTAAAGGAAAATGAACACTATGAAACAAAGGTGGCTTTTTCCCACCTTCTTCTAACCAAAGCCAACTTTCCCATGACAAAAATTACCTGTACCTCTCCTAAGCACAAAAAATTACCTCCGTAAGTGAGTGCTTAGTGCTTTATGGTACTTTGGTTGGTTATGGGATTAGGCTATTGGAAGATGAATGAGGTGATCTAGCCAACAGGTTTCAGCATTATGAAGCCATTTTGGTTTTGTTCAGGAGATACTGCAGCCGCTTCTGTGCTCGTTGAAATGGTGACCTAGACTGGTCAGTTGGCTGATGGCTGGGCGGCAGGTGCAGTTGGAGGGGGTCACGTAACCTCTGGATGTCTGCTTCTATTCGCGAGATACTGTCTTTCAATTCGTTGTAGCGATCCAAGTCGAGACCAACTTTTCGGGCACGTTTATGCAGGATGATCAAGTGCTGGCGATCCTTCACATCTGGCAGAACATACTCCTGTCACAGAAAGAGAGAATTTCACACCATTTCAGTTAACAGAATTATAAAAGTAACAATAATAATCTCCATACTGGCTTATTACATTGCAATGTACTGTAGTGATCTGGTGCAGAAATTACGGTAGCAGCTTGACTGCATCAGGACATTTCTCTCTTTGGTAGCAAGGACTGAGCCACACTAGAGTGCAAACCGTGACATCTACTATGGTACTTACTTACTTACTCATGGAGCTGAGCCCTTCTGGAGGAGCTGCCAATTCTGCAGCTACTCAAGAATTTCCAAGCATTTTATGGAACCCGAAGGTTCATTACTGTGTTCACAAGAGCCCTCCACTGGTCCCTGTCCTGAGCCAGATCAATCCAGTCCATACCATCCCATTCTATCTCTATCTCTCTAAGATCCATTTTAATATTGTCCACCCACCTATGCCTTGGTCTTCCCTGTGGTCTCTTTCCTTCTGGCTTTCCCATCAATACCCTATATGCATTCCTCGTCTCCCCCATTCCTGCTACATGCCCTGCCCACTTCATCCTCCTCGACTAGATCATTCTAATTATACTTCGAGAAGAGTACAAGTTATGAAGGTCCTCATTATGCAATTTTCTCTAACCTCCTGTCACTTCATCTCTCTTCGGTCCAAATGTTCTCCTCAACACCCTGTTCTCAAACACCCTCAGTCTATGTTCCTCCCTTAAT